GAGTTACCAGATCTGAACTGCAGAAATATGAACACCTAGGAGATGGCAAGAAATAGGTCTGTATCTTGTTATTAGTAGTTATCTAGGCTTCTGCAGCCCAGATTTTTTAGCCCCAGTGATAAACAGGATACAAAACCTCATATCTTTCTGTATTTTTGGTATTCCCCTTTGGACTCAGATTCTGAAAATAAGAAATTAAATGTACTTGTTTAGTAATGGGGTTTGTGTCAAGACACAATATTCCAAGTTGAAAATATTCCAAACTGAAGCCAGGGTATCCCTGGCAGTCGGGAGGGTGGGCAAGCTGTGCAATACAGGTTTCAACCTTTGTGTGTGTGTGTGCACACACACGCACAACTGATACATGATAGAAGGAGCAGGGCTTTGATTACAAGCCACTAACTTGATTTGTTGACCTACCCACCCCCTTGACTGCTACTGCACATTATTTCATTTTATAATAAAGCCTCTGGTAAGGCCTATACTGGATTAGATGCATTCTTGGATGTTAAACTATGCCTTCTTTGCTTTGCAATATATTAGTTTCCCTTTGTTTTAATTAGAAGTTAGAAACAATTAAAATTAGATAATCATATTTCTCAAATTAGCACTTTTGGAAATTTTCCTCAAAGCTTTCTTACTAATAAAAAACTCCATGATGGAAGTTTAACTAACAAAAAAGATAAAAGGTAACTCTGCAGGTTATAAGTTAATTTTATACCCAAAAGATTGAAGAGCCATATTCACATCTCATTCTTCCCCCCACCCACTGGATTTATTTTATTAAACTATTCAAAAAAAGAATTCAGACTTCTCTTCCTGCAAATCATTTTGACAATTCCCAAGCAGGAATTGTCAAAACGGTGCCATCCAGATGGGTTGGACTACAACTCCATCTCCCGGCCAATATTGTCAATAGGTCAATCCTTTTGCGGGGCTTTTTGCGGGAAGGCTGCCATAGACGTACGAATAGGGGTGGTCTGCAGTAACAACTGCATAGAGAAGGAAGACTAAAAAAAGATGCTTCCGGGGGAGGGGGCGCAAAACAACCGACATCCGCCGTCAAAGGCATCGCGACCGCCCGCTGTACCTGCAGGTAATCTATCCGGTTCAGACTCAGTTCCATGGCAATGGGCAATGGGCAAGTTACCAAGGCTGGCTTCGGCTTCCTCTTTCCGCGGGCATCAGTATCGCAAAAGTTTAGGGCCTAAAACTATTCTCCGGTCCTCTCGTTACTATGGTGACGAAGCAGGTTTGCGTAAACCCGACAATGCCCTAGTTTTTTATTGGAGACGGTGCGCTCTTGGGCGGTGCGCTTCGCTTTAAACGCGCCTCGTGATTGAAGAAGGAGCTGTCACTCAAGCAAAATAAATCCCCAGCTCGGGATTGAAAACTCAAGAGCGTCTGAATCTGGAAGAGATCCCAAGGAGGAGGTGAAATCCAAGTGGATTTAACAGAAGAACAAGGCTGGTTGGGGGATTCTTGGGGCTGAAATCCACACATTTCAGACTTGTCAAGTTTGAGAAACACGGGTTAGATGAAGGCATTTTATTATCGCATACGCTTTCCCTTCGAAGCGTGAGTTCAGGCTAGCGCTACCCATAGTTAACTGATTGTGTAATTGTTAACTGTTAACTGTTGTATGTGGTTAGCCAAGAACCGTGGTTTACTCAGTTAATTTACAGGCTTGCACAATTGACTAGAATTCAACTAACAATTTGGTATAATATGTCTATTAATGGTCGTATAGTTTGTGGTTCATTGTGCTGGGCAAAATAATCGGTGTATGCAGCGTTATATTTTAGTTGAAGGTACATAGAGAAAAATGTGAACACATTTTAAATAGTAATCATGACAATTAAGTTGAATTTTGAGCAGAGTGACCATAAATGATATGATATGAATGCTTACAGTGCAATTTGTATCTGTTAAAATTAAGATTCTTGTGGTTCCACATGGCTTATCCTTAGATCAGTGGTAGACAGGTAGTCCTCGACTTATGATCATTCAGTAGCCCAGGATCACCCCCACCCTCAGAAGCAACCCACCTTCTGCCTAACATTGCATGGGGGAGAGCCTGGATTGCATGGCTGCCTTGGTTAAGGACAATAACTTAAGGATTGTAATTATGGACTCAATTTGTGGTGATAAGTATTACCTGTTCTGGACTATATAAATTAGAATATTGTAATCACCTCTAACCAGGTTGCAATAGAGACAGATGGGAAACCACTTAGCTCTTCCTTCTCAGCTATTTCTCAGCAGCAAGTATATTTAAGATATTTTGCTGCCAAAGATCTCACATAATTAGCTTGCACCCAAACAACTATTGAATAAACCATTGGAAGCTGACCACTGGATCATTTCAAACACAGCTAATTGAACATTCAATGTTTTAAGGTCATTGCTTTCTTATTTTCTAATCCTTTTTTCCTTGAGTGATATACATTCATAGCAATGGCATTTAGACTTATATACCGCTTCACACATAGCCCTCTCTAAGCAGTTTACCGAGTCAGCATATTGCCCCCAACAGTCTGGGTCCTCATTTTACCCACCTCGAAAGAATGGAAGGCTGAGTCAACCTTGAGCCTGGTGAGATTTGAACTGCCAAATTGAAGGCAGCTGGCAGTCAGCAGAAATAGCCTGCAGTACTGCACTCTAACCACTGTGCCACCGTGGCACATTCATCTTCATACAGTAAGCCTTTTGGATAGAGGTGATTTGAATATTATTTATTTTATATTAGCCACTAAACTTTTTCAGCTAAATTCAGAACAAAAATAAATTAGGACAGATAAACTGAAATATAGAACCACTTCTTTTTAAATAATAATCAGTTCAGATCAAGCTATTTTATACTCTTCATTTGAATCTTACATAGTACTGAAAAGGTATTGTAGAAATGAAAGTTGAAATAGGAATTGGTGCAAATGCCATAGATACATGGAAGTTTGGATGTAAATAAAATAAACTCAAAAGCACTTGTCTGCATTCCATATATTTTTAGGATTTTTTTTTTCAGATAACGAGAGTGCAGCAGCCTTCCTATCTCCTCATTCCTTTAGTTCAAACTCACTCATAAACTTTTAGCCTGTTGTCTTCATAGCACTTTGCTTCATCCTCCTTTTTAAAATGTATACTTCTCCAGATCTTTTTCCTGTTTTAACCTTAAATACCTTTTATAATCTCTTTCAGAGAGAGTCAATGTAGCCTAAGGTTGACGTTGTACAATTGCATTCCATTTCTAGCTTTAAAGTAAATCATTCCCATTATAAAATTCTACAGTAAGTCACTGTATAACTTTGCCATTGGCTTAACTATTTAATTTTGGCTTACCCTTCTTCCTATAATCTTCCCAGTTTTTAATAACAGATTAAAAATAAACACCTTCTATTCATGAACAATGAGCCCTTCTGAGGAATTACGGAATAGCTAGACAAATACAGGTAGTCCTTGACTTACAACAGTTCATTTAGTGACCATTCAAAGTTACAAAGGCACTGAAAAAGTGACTTATTGCCATTTTTCACACTTATAACCAATGAAGCATCCCCATAGTCATGTGATCAAAATTTGGATATTTGGCAACTTAATTCATATTTACGATGGTTGTAGTGTCCCAGGGTCATGTGATCACTTTTTGCATCTTCTTACAGTCAGTGGGAAAGTCAGATTCATTTAGCAACCCTGCTACTAATTTAACTTTAGTGATTCACTTAATGACTGTGGCAAGAAAGGTCATAAAATGGGACAAAATTCAGTTAACAAATGTGTCACTTGGCCACATCAATTTTGGGCTCAGTTTTGCTTGTAAGTCGAAGACTGTCTCTACAAAGACATTTATCAAAATCTAGATAATGTCCTCTTAACAGTATTCAGGAAAAATCTCCAAAACAATTTCTTAAAATTCCTTTAAAGTCATTTACAGTTTAATGGTGATTTATTAATACATATGCTTGCCTGCTTAGTGAAGATTAAATATTGCTTAGCTCTGCAGAAGATTAATATAATGGTATATAAACTAAAATCCTGCATATCAAATTTGTGTAACAGTTTTAGCATATGGAACTGTAGCCTGTTGCTTATTTTAATGAACAGGATTTCTCTTCTATCACCTACCCCAAACCCACAGATAAAAGTACAAGAACAATATAAGGCCATAAAGTATGAATATTTTATTTAATAAGTAAGCATCATAGGCATTATTTAGAGTGTAACAAAACTTCAGCCCTGCATAGGATCTGGGATTTTAAAAAAAGTTACATGAAAATGTATGTTTTGACAGTTTACATTAACTAGAAGTAAAAAACAACAGCAACCTTATTTCGTATTCTGAAAGCAAATATGATACAAAATATATGAGATAAATGTAAAAGCGTTATTAATATTATAATTACATTTTTACCTTCACTGTCAGACATTCAGTTCCCATAGCATAGCTTTGAGCTTTCTCAAAAAAGGAAAATAAATAAGTGGACGTGATTCAGTGAAATTTAAGCTAGAGGTACCAGATCTGGGCTGTAAGCACTTAAGATTTCCAATAACTTTTTCTTGCCATCTTGTAATCATTTAGATTTTTGCAACTCAGATTTTTTCCCCCTTCCTTGAAGTGTGTTTGATTCACAGAGAAAAGGCCTGCGCAAGTCCCTGCAATTTTCTTGGCATGTTTTTTTTTTCAGAAGTTGTTTGCCATTACCTCGGGTGGGATGCTGCTACTGGTTTGGCCCGGTTCTACAGAACTGCTAGCTCTGAAGAGCAGCAGACACTGAATCGGTTCAGTGCGACGACCTTTTGATCATCTGTTTGGCCCACCTGCCCGCCCGGGCTGTTGGCTGTCCTTTACTTCCTGCTTTGCGCGGCACAGCTGCTTTGCGCGGCACAGCTGAGGTTGAAAAAGCAGGAAAGAAGAGGATTTTCAAACGCTGTGCACCCATGCACAGCGCTTGTCAGCTGTCCGGGCAGCACAGCTGATGTTTTTTGCAATTGTTTTACACACACGCAAAGCAAGTGCATGCAAAATGCACTCTGACTGAACCGGTAGTAACACCGGTTGAATCCCACCCCTGCATTACCTCTTTCCTAAGTCTCAGAAAAAGTGACAGGCCCAAGAACTCTCACAAGCCTATGTGCCTAAAATGGGACTAAACTTACAGTCTCCCAGTTTCTAGCCTGGCATCTTAACCACCACACCAAACTAGCTTTTATAGTAGCCCTGGATAAGTAGTTAAAGCATTTTCAGTTCTGTACATAGTAGTACAAACTATTGAACTTAATGGCCTACTTCTAAGTAAGCATGCATAAGATCAGACATTACAATGGACTCACTGAAATCAGTGAAACTCAAAGCAGTTCTAGCTAATTTGAGTGGATCTATACTAGGCACAACTAGTTCCTGAAACAATCCATTAATTTTAGAAAGATTATATCTTTAAAATGATCATGCTTAACTCTTGATAATTCATTTCAAGTAATCCCTCCTGAGCTGGCTGAACTTTTGGTATTGTATCATAAAAATTGTTCACAGCAATAAGATAAGAACAGACATGCAGTACCATCCTAAAATTTTAATCTACAATATTAATCTTTTTCATTTGCTACAAATATTCATTTTACTAATAGAACTACTAGCAATGAAAAATTATTTAGGTACAATTGTACAGTATTAAATAAATGCCAAATATGTTTTATACCTTAAATAAACTTAAATTGTTTGTGTGTAAATTTATAAAATTTTCTAAGACTGTATTTCAAATGAAGCTGTACATAAAGTCATTTAGTACTAAAAATCTACATATTTTTCAAGTATGAATCACTCAGAAATATTATTGCCAATGCTTGTGCTATAGTGAAAATCCAGGTAATCTTGAAAATGTCATTTGGGATCATTCACATCTTGATATATTTGGGTTGAGTTTTTCACTTAATTTATGTATAAGAATTGCCAATTCCTCTGTTGCTTGAGATTTGTCTTCCAACAGTTCATAGCGAAGACTAGAAATATCTTGTTTAATTTCCTTTAATTCACCTGTGTAAAAACAAAAAGACTTTTAACATAACTTGATAAAGTATCATCTGCTACATTGTTTATAGTAGTTCATAAGACCAAGCAGTTGAAGTTCAATTCATCACATAAACAGATATTCAAAATCATTACAACTGAAAGCTTTGAAAAAATGTGAAATCACTGAAAGATGTACTGTAACCAGTGGTGGGATTCAAGTAATTTAACAACCGGTTCTATTAACTGGTAGGATGGTCGTGGTTTGGGGGGATCATGTGACTGAGTGAGCATGGCCAACTCGACGTCACAGCAAAGTGGGGCAGCACTTTGCTGTGACATTGAGTTGGCCACGCCCACTCAATCACATGGCCGATGCTGCAGAGACACAGTGATTTCCTACATTTCCCCCCTGTCCCCGCCCTTTGGGCTGACAAAATAAAAGCCCATCTAAAGATCGCGACTGTCTGCCGAGGCTGCCTGGCACATGCTGGCAAAAGGTGGCTAGAGGGAAAAAAAGAGAAGGGCCGATGAAATGCCCCATTTTCCGCCTCCATTGGGCTGTCTGCACTTCACTGGGGAGGGAGGGAAAAAGCAAAAACTCTATCTGTCCCGTATGTACTTACCAGCACGACTGAGAATCTCTCTTCCAGCTCGCTGGTTTGGGCATTGGGAACTTGAGGAGTAGTGCCTAATGTTCGAACCAGCGAGCTGGAAGAGAGATTCTCCATTGTGCTAGTATGTACGAACCGAGTAGGCTTTTTGCTTTTTCCCTCCCTCCCCATCCCGAACAAGTGCTGTGCAGACAGCCTAATGGAGGCGGAAAAAAGGGCATTCCATTGGCCCTTCTCTTTTTCCCCCTAGCCGCCTATTGCCATCATGCACCAGGCAGGCTCGGCAGACAGTCACGATCTTTAAATAGGCTTTTATTTTGTCAGCTTAAGGGCGTGGGGGGGGGGGGAAGGGGCTTGGAATGGTATGTATGAAATCTTTCTCTGCAGTATCCAATCCTTGCCAGCACGCAGGCAGTGAGGAGGAGGAGGAGGCAGGCAAGCAGGCTGGGCCTCGGGGACCACGGGAAAGGCAGCAGGGAAGGTAGGCAAGTTGGCTAGGTTATGTGGGAGGCAGCTAGGCTGGGATTCAGGCCTTGCTGCTTGCAGTCACTCACCTAGGCAGATCAGAGCAGCTCAGCTGGGCCACACAGAGAGTGCTGAGTGAGCACAGAAGGCAGGCAAGCTCACTTGGCCACGTGGGAGGCAGATAAGCCAAGATTCGGGCTTTGCTGCTTGCAGTAATTCACCCAGGCAGCTCAGGGCAGCTCAGCTGAGTTGCATGGAGAGCTCTGCATGGGATTCGGCCACATGGAAGGCAGGAAAGCTGGCTGGGCCATGTTGGAGGCAGTTAGGGCTGGATTCGGGCCTTGCTGCTTGCAGGCTCACCCAGGCTGCCAGGCAGATCAGGGCAGGTCAGCTGGGCCACACGGAGAGCACTGTGTGGGATGCAGCTGGTGACAGGCAAGCTGGCTGGTCCTAAAGAGACCGTGTGGTTGAGGCAAGTGAGGAAGCCAGACAGAGCAGCAGCAGCTATGCTGGGCGAGCGGACGAGATGAGGAATAACTGGGTGGGGCCAGCCAACGGTGGGATTTGCCAGTTCTGTGAACTGCACAAAATCGTAACTACCAGTTCGTGGGAACCGGTCGGAACTGGCTGAATCCCACCACTGACTGTAACCTTCACTTTTTCCAATTTGTCTTCCAAACAAAAAGTTTCACAGTCAAGCAATGGGACAACTCTCCGCAGCCAACTTGCCATAATCTACTTGCCACAGCCAGTTTGTGGCGGCCAACTAGCCATGGGACAACTCACCATGGCCAATTTTCTGCAGGATAATTCAGCAATTCAATTTAATTATTTCAACTAATTTAAAAATATTTTAATTTTTGTCATTCACATTTAATTTTGTCCCTTCTTTAATGATTCTATTGGACTATTTCTTTGATATTAGTGTAACTCTAGTACTGTTGTGAGTTGTCTGCAGCGACTTGGGCAATTGGCCATGGAGAGTTGACCATGGCAAGTTGGCTTTCCAGAATCTTTAATGACCTGCAGACATGGAAGTTATATAATGTCTCTTCCAGGGGTAAAATTCCTCAAACAAGTAGGCAAACAAATATAACTTCCTCACCAGTTCATTATCTTAAAAAAACATATAAATTAGTTACAAAGAAAAGGCACAATCCAGCCAATTTTAAGTATGTTTAAAAACTCATTAACTTCAAAAGTACAGCATACAGTCTATTGACTTTGAAATCTGTAAGTCTGCATTGTGTTTAATCATATTAAAATTACCCTTCTTTGATTTTCTGGGAGTTTTGACCCATCACAAACTTCCAGCTGGAGGAGGCTGGGTGATATTAATCAAAAACCAGTACATTTCACAATGTGATAACTGTTGTAGAAACTAATCAAATGTACTGATTTGTCTTTTCATATGGGCATCTAAATGAACCTATATAAATTATCTGTATAGTTATTTGAACTCTACATGTTTTGAAGATATTCTTGATATAATGTTTATTGGAATATGATTTATTCAAGCCAGTCAAATCAGCAACATCCAATTTCTCTAATATAATTTTTCAGATTTGGAATTCACATGAACTAAAAGTTAATTCAGTATGTTGCCCAGTCCTATGAATTATTTGACAAAAATTCAAGCTCAAAGAACATTTACCAAGTAAGAATTCATAATATTATTTACTTAAAAAGTAAACAGGAGGGAACTTAGGTTGATTTTAACTTTCAGTGTAATGTGTACTCATTATGCATTATAAAACTATACTAAAATTCTGACATTCATTTCAAGAGCATGCAATTTGAACAAAAGATCAGTAACCTTAAAACTGCGTAGAAGAATTAGTTTCAAAATTTGAGTTTTTTCTAATCTGTTCTGAATACAAAATAAATTAAGATATTTGAATTTAAAGAAATCCTGGGATCTTGTTTTTAATGGGGAATGATTCAGATTTTCATAGGAAGAATAATAAAAATCTAAAAGAACCCACCAACCTCCAAATATAAAATGTATATTGTGTGTATGTTTATGTATTCATCAAAATATCAAGTATCTGTTCTTTTTATTATTTTCTATTGTACAAACTTCTCATACTTTAAAACATGTCAGTACCATAGATAGATTTAGGTCATGTGTATTTTCTTTTTTTATCAACTAATTTTAGAAGTGAATCCAACTCGTGGATATTTCTAAAGGTTAAGACAACTGTATTTTGAAGATTTAATATTTTTAGTCATTTTCAAGTATTTTTATAATTTGGCCCATACAGTAGTTGAAAGTTTATTTTTATAAAAGTAATTTATCCAAATGCAAATCATTTATTAATTTAATTAGTTTACTTTACTTTACTAAGAAAAACACTACATCTAATATTATATGCACTATCTTCCCCACTTCGTCATTTTTACCCATATTTACAGTGTTAAATATCTGATTTGAAGCCCAAAGCAGAAAGAATCATTTCCTCCCATAATTGAAACCTCTGGTTTCTCAGACACCAACATTTTTCTTTCTTTTCTTTTGAATTTATAATACTGTATAAAAACTCTATAGGCTCTTACCTTCATTGACTTCATCATTTTCCTTGTCTACCTGGGCTTTCAAAACGTATCGTTTTATAAGTCTCTTCATGATTTGCTATTGGAGGGAAAAATTCAATTATTTATTTATTTATTTATTTATTTGCCATTCTAATTTTAAATGCATGCTCCTTAAAGTCCTGGGGGAAAAATCTGAATCTTCATCTGTAATAAGGTCAGGCTATAGGATACAAGTTACAGGATTTAGTTCCTCTGAAGTAAATTCCATTTTAGTATAATCAAACATTCATTTTCAAGTTTTTACACCATAAGAAGAACTAGACATGCAACTGTATGATCTTTAATTCATTTTTAAATTATTATTTTTATGACATTGTTTTTGTATAAAAATCAATTAGCACAATAAAGAACAGAACCCATGGGCACTTTTGTATACTCGTTTTAAAATTTTATTTATTTATTTATTTATTTATTTATTTATTTATTTTGATTTGTCAATCGCTTACAAGATAATAGGTATAAGTATATACATAGTTATGAATACATGAAATGGGTATTTATAAGAAAAATAAAAGAAACAATAGGACAGGGATGGTAGGCACATTGGTGCGCGTATGCACATCCCCTACAGACCTCTTAGGAAAGGGGTGAGGTCAATAGTAGACAGTCGAAGGTTAAAGTTTTTGGGGTTTAGGGAAGAAACCACAGAGTCAGGTAGAGTATTCCAGACATTGACCACTCTGTTGCTGAAGTCGTATTTCTTGCAATCAAGTTTGGTGCGGTTAACCTTTGTATCTATTGTGTGCTCTTGTGTTGTTTATGGTTGAAGCTGACGTATTCATTGACAGGTAAGTCAAGTTAGTAGTAGTGTGCTACTACTTAGTAGTGTGCTATTACCAGAGAAAAAGCTACGTACAATTAGGTTAACAACTCTTAATGCCTTTTTGGCTATGTCGTTACAGTGGGCTCTAGCACTTAGATCATTAAAGATGAGTATTCCAAGGTCCTTTACAGAGCTTGGATCATCAACAAGGCCTTGACTATTCAGCTTGTATTTTATTTTCTGATTTTTTTTGCCAATATGTAGGACAGAACATTTATTTGTTGAGATTTGAAGATGCCATTTGTTTGACCATTCTGATACATAGTCAAGATCTTTTTGAAGGGTAGCAGTATTGTCTGTGGTATTGAACAGCTTTACATCATCAGCGAAGAGAACACAGTTGCTCTTAATGTGATCACAGAGGTCATTTATGTAGAGTATGAAGAGAGTTGGTCCTAGAACACTGCCTTGGGGGACACCACTATTGACAGGTACAGAATTTGATAGGACACTCCCAATTTTGACCATTTGTTGTCTGTTTGACAGGAATACTTCTATCCAGTTATGCAGTTGTCCAGAGATACCATAAGATTTTAGTTTTAGGAGTAGTTTGTCGTGTACCACTGAATCAAAGGCTTTACAGAAGTCTATGTAAATTGCGTCTATTGTTTGCCCTGATCGAGTTGTGTAGTTCTTATGTTTTGCAGTGTAACGGTTGCAGATTACAGGATAGTTTTTTTCTGAAACCAAATTGTTTATTGGAGAGTAGGTTATTTGTCTCTAAGTGGAGGATAATGGATTGGTTAATAATTGATTCCATGACTTTACAGGTGACGCAGCATAAGGAGATTGGTCTGTAATTTTCAACTAGGCTGAGGTCTCCCTTTTTGAAGATGGGGATAACCGTGGCTTGTGACCATAGGTTAGGCAAGGAGCTGGTCCTGAAAGATTTTTCAAAGATTATGCTTAGAGGTTCTGCTATGGCAATGGATAGCTTTTTGAAGAAGTAGGCACATATTCCGTCCGGTCCAATAGATAGAGATGGTTTTAGATTGTGTAGTGCTTTTTCAACATTGTCTTCTGTAATATCTATATGTATTAGATCATTGTAGTTTTCTGTGGTTCGGCTAGGAAATACTGGGCATAATCCATTGCGGTTTACAAATACTGAGCCAAAGAATGTGTTAAAATTTTTGGCTTTAATGGTGTCGTCGTTGCAGTCTTTACAATTAGGTCCTATCAGGGTTGGGATGGACATTGAATCTTTTAGTTTGTTGTTTACAAAATTGTAAAAAGCGTGGATGGAATTGGTGCGTAGAAGGTTTTCCTCTTGTTTAATTAATTAATTAATTAATGGTATTTTATTAAACAAAAAAGAACAACATGCTGGGGAAAAAGCAAAACAAGAAAAAACAGCTTAGTTTGAATGAACTACCTGCCCTGATGTAATTTGTGTATCTACTATTCTTACTCTTTAACACTTACCTAAGCAATTCTTGTGAACAGGACTCCATGGATGGATGAATGCCCCAACTCTCCTCCAAATTTCATTCAAAAGGAGGTGTGGGTTTGTCCACATTTGCACACATACATATGCCCTAACACCACTAATTTTCCAAGTGCTCCTACAATAGTATATTTATCTTATTCACAGGTCAACAATCTTAAATTGGTATTATTGGTACTGGATTGCGCGCGCATGCGTAGGGGGCGTGGGGGCGTGCGCATTGCTTTCGAGGTGCTGGCACACGAGTGCAAGTGTGCAAGCGCACGCACAATTTTTGGCACAGGAGCCCTAAAAGTTTAGCCACCACTGATTTAAGTGACGCCAACAAGGAAGAGGGATTGTCTGCAATGTTTCCAAGTTGTGCTGTGCTTTAGTAATTATATAGTGAGGGAAACAAGTACCAGTTTTTAAACAAGCAGCAATATAATGGACAACTGGAATTTTATCTCCTAAGAGGATGTAAGAAAACCTCTTACAGTTAAACACAGAGAGCTCTAGGTATGCAATATGTCTGATTTCTACCATAAATAGAAACAATCTTAATGCATTTTATATGTTTATAATGAATGCACATTATCCAAGTAACTGCTTACCTGATAGCGTGAAGGTTGATTGAGAATGCTGTTAAAACTGTGTGATTCAAAAACTCTTGAGTTGGACTGAGAAAAGAGATTTAGCTAGAAAACAATATATCTGAATTAAAATATATTCCATAATATTTGCAGCTACTATATAAGATGCTAATACTTAATGACTGATTACACAAATTAGTACCATTCAGTATAAAATTCTGAAAGAAACAAAGTTTCAATTTGTCATATTACTAAAATATGTATCTATTCCTGATTGAACAATGCACTTAAATAGAAATATATTATTTTAACCATTTCCTAAACCAAGCACATAAAAAATAATGCATATTCCTGAAAAACAATCATTACTGTACACATCTTACACTGCCTAACAACTCCCACATGTATAGATAGTGCTTGTGCTGAACAGGATATTAGAACTGAACAATATTTATAATAGTAAAATAAATAGTAATGCAATGAATCTGATAAAAAATGTGATTAGGTTGTCAGAAGTAGAGCTTATTACTTTCTGCTATTTTTTATGCAACTCATAGCATAAAAAAAGAAAACTTCTCATTATTAACAGTGTGGTTCAGCTACTGCAGCATAGCAAGAGCCTGCTAGGATAGGAGCCATTGACTCAAGACAAAGAAGAGGCAGCATAAAGAATGAAGGCCGGGATAATTCAAATTGATTGATGACACATTCTCCAGACATCCAGTAAACCAAGGTGTTGCATAAAAAAACTAAAATAAAACCCCTTTTCCTTGAAAAAAGACATTAGATAGCAAAATATTTATGAAATAAAGAACAATGTATGTAGTTTTTGTCCTTGATACTGGTTATGTCTTATTACATTCTTCATACAAGCACATTTTTTTGCTAGTAAGTAACATAAGGCTTGCACACTTATAAGCATTTCTATGCTAAAAAGGGGCCTGAGATAATGGGAAAAGGTAGCACTCCTAATGTCCTAATGTCAGCACTTTTATTTAGCTGAATTGAAAAGACTCTTGCACACTCTGGACTAAACACAGAGGTCCATGGGTTTCACTCCCTTGCTGGTACATAGAAAATTCCAGACATGTCTGTCAATGAAATGTTCATTCATTTTCTACTTCAGCCACATTTCAGGTAAACACTTTTGATAGTGCGGCATGCATTAATCAGCATTTCATATTATTTTAGCTAGTTATTTAAACATTATTTAAAAGTCACAATTATTCTAGAAATCTACTTTGAAAAGAAAGGAATAGTAAAGATCATTGTTGTCATCAAGTTTCATTTGTCTTCTGCCTAAAAATATTCCACTGAAGAAATACTATTCCATATATGTATTGTATCATTTACACTGCAATAAATCTGCATACAGTCCTATCCATATTTCCTAATGCAATAAAGCTTCATCTCTGGAAGAGATATGGAGGCAGGGTATGAAATCTATCTCATTATGTTATAACAAAGGCACCTCTTTCCCTGGAGTGTTCCCAAGAGCAGGAATCTAAGCACTTAATTAGTGAATCAGATTTTATAACTATAATATAAATAATAAATGCATTTAAGCAAATACATGATAGGGCTATGTAAAATTTAGCATCTACCTAATTACAAGAAAGAGAATTAGAGAATAAGTGCTTTTTACTGAAAGTAAAGGTTCATTTAGTGAACATTCAAAGTTACAACAGCACTGAAAAAGTGACATGACCGTTTTTCCATAGTTATGATCTTTGCAGCATCCCCATTATCTTGTATCAAAATTCAGATGCTTGACAACTGATTTATATTTATGACCATTGCTGTGTCCCAAGATCATACAATCAGCTTTTATGACCTTTTGACAAGCAAAGACAATGGGGAAAACAGATTCATTAACAACTGGGTTATTAACTTATCAGCTGCAGTGATTCACTTAACAACTGAGGCAAGACAGGTGGTAAAATGGAGCAAAACTTGCTTTTTAAGTATCTCAGTTAACAGGAATCTTGCGTTCTATTATGGTCATAAGTTGAGGACAATATCATAAATAACACTGAGATTAGATAAAGAGTAGGACAGTGATAGACTCTGTAAAGCTTAACTATACTTCACTGCCTCTTGTGTCACTACACTGTGAGGTGATAAAGAGTCATAGCCACTGAAATCACAGTATATATAAAGTTATGACAGGAACTCCCCTACCCAACCCCTGAAGTTATAACCCATCCTTGAAGTTACAATTGCCGCACATACACCCTCACGGTCACAAAATAGCATTTCAGGCACTTGACATCTAGTTGGCATTTACAACTAGATGCAGCGTTCTATAGCCTCATGACCATGATTTACAACATTTTTGCTAGTTTTCCAGCAGAAAATGCTCTTTCAAGATAATAGATTTGCTTAACAACCATGTAACCATGGTTAACAAACATACTTAACAAACATGTGGTTCACTTAATGATCATGGTGATTTGCTTTTCTACCATTGTACAAACAATCATAAAATCAAGTCAGGTTATGTAGTGACACATTTAATGACCTTAATGACTTATTACCAAAATTCCAGGCACCAATGACATTAGGGGATGTCATTAGGTGAGAACTACCTGTAGTCACTTTTTGCACTCATTTAGGAGGGTAAATGGATATGACTTCAGATACTGACATTGCAAATATGTAGAATTTAAACCAGAAAAGCATGTCTTCTATGTGAAAACCACAATTTAGGATTCAACAAATTAGACAAAAATAAAAAATACTTATATATATCTATGTATAAAAAGCAGTGAACCTACCCTGGATTTTGAATTACCTATTCCCATTTCCATGTCTTTCTGTAATCTTTTCCTTCTGCACCTCAATAATTTAATGATCTTCATGAAGAAATAAAAGAACGATTTGGGACTTGGTACAAGACTGAATGGGGGTGGTAGGGTTTTTCCATCATCAAAGTAGGATAACCAGAGTTTAGAACGAGCAAATTTCCACTCCACATCACTGTCATCCTATATCAGAAACAAAAACTTGTTCCACTCACAAATAATTTTCTTCTTTGTATTATGAAGTAAATGCTACTTTCTCATCTTTTCAGCATTTTGTCAGTGTAAATATCTAGATCTACTGTTTTACCTGAAAAATCTCTACTTATAGGAAAATATATTCTAAGCGCTTCTAAAAGCTTAGGTAAAACAAGTTAGTTTTTTATTATCTTCCATTAAACAACTCCTTTTGATAAAACAATAGAAATAGAATTTAACTAATATTAATTCACACCTTAATTTGATTGCTAGATAGTACATATTAAAGATTATATATCTAAACAAAAAACAAGAAAAATTAGATATAGGGAAATCAATTGACTATATCAGTGGTTCCAGTGGTGGGATTCAAAACTTTTTATTACTGGTTCTGTGGGCGTGGCTTGGTGGGCGTGGCAGGGGAAGGTTACTGCAAAATCCCATTCCCTCCCCACCCCGCTAACCTGCTTTGTTCTCCTGTGCAGGGCAACAAAAGAAGACTCAGCCAATCAGCTGGGACTCAGGAGGCAGAGAATAAACAGGGGAGGGGCCAGTCAGAGGTGGTATTTGCTGGTTCTCTGAACTACTTAAAATTTCTGCTACCGGTTCTCCAGAACTGGTCAGAACCTGCTGAATACCACCTCTGAGTGGTTCTTAACCTTTTCTTCACAATGGACCCCCTTTAAATATTTTTTGTAACCCTAGACCATGGCCAAAGACTACCAAGATTTAAATCATAACATTTCTTCAAGCCTTCGTGGAAACCCTGTGACAACATCGTGCCCTCTCCTCAGAGGTCCACAGACCACAGGTTGAGAACCATTGGGCTCTATCCATTTTCACAACTAAGCAGAGGAAATTATCAGAATCAAAATGATTTCTTAGCTCTAAATACAGTATATGAACACTATTGAAACATACCTCTATTTCTTGATATGAACTGTTAATCATTGCAATCAGCATGTTGAGTAAAACCACAACCATTGTTACATTATATATTCCATACAAGACATAACCAATATTTTCGATGAACTTATGATCATATTTGAGGACAACGGATGTAACTTCTGATAAGCCAAATATTGACCAAAATAAAGTCTTAAAGCTTTCTTCAACACTGCATGAAAAGAAAAAAGCATTAACAGATTATTATAATTTTTATAGTTTAATTAGCTTAATAAACAAAGTGATAGAGGGCTTAATGCACACAACATAAAATATTTTCACTGAGAAACTAGGTATGCTATGCCCTATTGTATATGGCCAATTAAATTTGTGGATTGTTTAACATAGAAAGTCACTATGTCTGATATCCTTAAATACTAGATTACAGCCTTACAATTTATATTGATTTATTGTCAAACAAAAAATAATTCCAAATTCTAAAAGATTACTAACCACAAGAATGAATGGAGACAGCAATCTGGCTTGACATTACAAAATCAGAATTGAATGATGCTTTACTAAATATCATTTAGTTGGATTTTTGCAATATATACAGTCATAAACCACAAATTTCAAGTCACAACAGCTGGGTTTACATATGAGAATATATAGACACAATGCAAGAACTATAATACAAAGGTAGACTTCTCCCAAATGGTTTGGAAACTAAAAAGAGGTTCTTAACTGACATGCTGCTATAGAAGTACTGTCATTTTATAATAGTGATATATGCCAATAGAATCCTTCCATCTAAACACAACATTGTCAGCCCATGAATCCAACAAACTCTAATAGTAGTACTATACCAGACTATATGGTGAAATTCAGAAACAATTGCAGCAAATAAAGATAACAGAAAATATTAGCTAAATGCAAAGTAAACATACATTTAGAAGTGGTCTCAGTTTTTCTGTCATCCATTCTGTTACTTTATAGTTCAAGGTGAAGAAACTGGTGCCCTTTTGATATTTTGACAACTTGTACAATTCCTTATTATTAACTATTCTAGCTGTATCTAATGGGTCCAAAACATCTCAAGAACCTCAGGTTAATAGTCTTGCAATGACTGATTCAATTGCTGAAAGTCACAAATATTAGTTGTTTTCTTGACTACAGTTGTATAGTCAACCTTTTTATGCAGCTACAGATATTATATTGTGTCTTTGAAACAACCATTATGTGGATCTTAGTCAGTCTCTTCACCCTCTTTCTCAGGTGTTTTAAAGCTTTTTACTCATGTCTCTGTTTTTAAAGAACCAGCTCCTTTAACCTTGAATTTCTTTCCCTTCCTCCTTAATTTTATCATTGTTAAGTATACTTTTAATTTTCCTTCCTTTCTTTTTCCTACACATCTTTGTAAAAAAAATCTCCCTGCAAACTGTTTCAGTATAATTGTCAAGAAAATTCCATAAATGTACCTTCCTATGTATGTAGTCATCAAACCTTTCAGCAAATTTGATGAGAAACAATACAGTAATAATTGTTTCTGCAGTTGTTACTTACGTAGTAAATGCTGCATTTACTTTGGCTCCAAGATAGTAAGAATACAGTATGAACATCCCAATCATAAAGGCAAGAAATACCATAATAAAAAGAACCATAAACTTGAAAATGTCTTTAACAGTTCTTCCAAGTGAAATCTGCAGTGGTCCAAAACTCTCATTTGCAGGTAAAATATAAGCAATCCGAGAGAAACTAAGCACAACAGCAATTGCATAAAGACCTTCCGATATGATTTGTGGATCAGATGGAAGCCATTTATCTCTAGCTAGAAAAAAAAATGACATAAACAAGAAGCTTGTTAGTTTTATCTATTTGTTCATTGTGTTGTCAAAACAACACAATTAGCAGTTTTAAGAGTATTACTTTCTGTATGATGTATTTTATGAATCTATTTTTTCTGTATGCTGTCTGTGACCATGGGTATATAGTTTAAAGATCTATGTAAATATTTTCAAATGATTTGTGGTCAATAAACATTCTGAGCAGTATTTCTCTGGACCAATCAAACAACAATTATTCTCTTTAGAAGTTCAAACTATATAACATTTTCCTTTTGATTTTTAAATCAAACTAAAAATAAAAATCAATTTTTTATAAATTAAAATAAATAAAAAGAATGACTAGAACCTAGAGGGATAGAATCAAGTTCATATGAAGTGTTAAGACCACTTTATAATGCCTTGGTAAGACCACACTTGGAATATTGCATCCAGCGTTGGTCTCCACAAATGTAAAAAAGATGTTGAAACTCTAGAAATAGTACAGAGAAGACCAACAAAGATGGTTAGGGGATTGGATGCTAAAACATATAAAGAACGGTTGCTGGAATTAGGTATGTCTAGATTAATGAAAAGAAGGACTAGGTGTGACATGATAGCAGTGTTCCAATATCTCAGGGGCTGCCACAAAGATGAGGGAGTCAAGCTATTCTCCAAAGCACCTGAAGGCAGGACAAGAAGCAATGGACGGAAACTAATCAAGTAGAGAAGCAACTAAGGAGAAATTAGAATTAGAAATTAGAATTAGAACAATTAATCAGTGGAGCAAACTTGTCTCCAGAAGTTGTGGATGCTCCAACACTGGAAGTTCTTAAGAAGAGATTGGACAATCCTTTGTCTGGAATTGTATTGGGTTTCCTGCCTGAGCAGGAGTTTGGACTAAAAGACCTCCAAAATCCCTTCCAACTCTGTTACTCTATTATTCTGTTAAATAAAAGACCTTGCAAGGAAGATTCTGCTTTCTGCTTTGTGCATAGGTAACACTCTTTAGTGCTTTAGTGTTACTAGTCAGAAAAACTAATTAACAACATCCTAACAGAACAAAATATATAGAGAGATACATTTTCTAATAGTGTACAGTCTACGGCTAATATTCAGCCGCAGAAAGCCTTCCATAAAGTGTTGCTAAACCTGCCATGTGTGATAAACATAAGTGTTCAGTCCCTGGCCAATTGAGAGTTAGCTATCCATGGTTGAAAGATTATTAGCCATTTTAATATGCCAGAGGCATGGCAAAATTTTTGAACTTACCATAAGTAAAATACTCTATATTTGGTGGAAGTGTGACCACAGAGAGATCTGTCTCCTGGATATATTTGTCCACATAGTTCTGTGCTTTTGTAGCTTGTAAAAAGGCCAACAATCTAGCTGTGAAAGCAGCAATAAAAATAGATAACATTCCAAAATCAAGAACATTCCAAAGCTGCAGAATATATTCACGGGGTCCTTCTAGCCAGAGCTCTTTACACTCAGACCACATCATTCCTGAAAAAGAAATGCAATGAAATCCAGCTAAATGTAATTAAGGATGCAACCCAAATATACCAACCTGAGATTAAGTCACATACCTAATTTGAGATTTTTTTAACACACCTCATATGACTATACTTTCAGAGCAGAAACAAAAGGCAAATATAAATCAGAATGATGCAGAGGTTTTCAGGCCTACTCACATTGTATAACATGCCGGTGCATGCTATTACAAATTGTACCCATGCAGTTTCTTACATAATAAAAAGGTGGAATTAGATTATATAGTAGCAGCATCCACACTATTAAAGAAATACAGTAAAAGGTCCTTAAATATTAGGCTAAATCCACTGTAATATCAGTTACCTAAAATCCTAATGATTGATATGTGGAGGCCACTGTACTGTACAGCAGTGTTTCTCAACATACTATTGCTGTCATGGTTTCCAACATAGTCTTGAGTTTAGAGTTTCTATCTTGCATTGAGTATTACAAGCTATTTATAGAGCATTCTGCATGACTGAACCCTCAGAAAGGTAGTCAAACAACTTCTAAAACTGTCAATACAACCAGAATCAAGATTGAGAAGTTCTTGGGTTTGAACATATGTAATAGGAATCATGATTTCTTTTGTTGTATGCTATCTAAATTAACAATTCCATATGGTCTATAGCAGTGGTCCCCATCCTTTGCTGCTTGGTGCCCCAGCTGGGTAGGGGGGAGGAGAACAGGTCCACATGAGCAGTGAGCCAGTGTATGTGCGTGCAACCTGTCTCACACAGGTGGTAAGCCAGCACTCACATGGGCAGCAGTCTACTGGTTACATGAATCAAGCTGCATTCACGTATATGCCAGCCTACCATTCATGCAAGTCAAACTGTGTATATACGCATATGTGCTAGCCTATGGCCCTGTTGAGAAAAAGCCATGGCCTGGTAGTGGAGTTGGGAACCCCTATTCTAAAAATCTGCTGAAATATATTTATCGTTATAGCACCATACAGAGATATCTAAAAATATACACACTGCAATAAGGACGTAATAAAATATATACATACCAAGCACCCATATCATGATCAGCATCTCTGTCCAAGTGAACCGAGTTGTCTTAACTCGAAAAATCTGTTTTGGGTAATCAATAACTGTTTCATTTGGTAATACTGAGATGCCTTCAAATCTATCTGAAGCATTAAATACTAGTAGTCCCAAGAAAATAATGAAGGAGGCCGCATGTGCCACAAATTTCATAAATGGACTCCGAAGAATTTTCCCAAGCTAAGAAAACAAAGTAAAAGTATGGATTTTGCTTTGATTGTTTCTTCATCTATATATGCTTTCATTTTCAATAAATAGCAATAGCACTTAGACTTATATACCACTTCACAGTGCTTTACAGCTGTCTCTAAGCAGTTTACAGTACAGAGTCAGCATATCACCCCCAACAATCTGGGTCCTAATTTTACCAACCTCGGAAAGATGAAAGGCTAAATATACCTTTAGCTGATGGGAATCAAATTTCTGGCAGTCAGCAGAATTAGTGTACAATACTCCATTCTAACCACTGTGCCATCACGGCTCTTTTTGTCTAAAGCAGGGGTGTCCAACCTTGGCAACTTTAAGACTTGTGGGCTTTGCTGGCTGAGGAATTCTGAGAGTTGAAGTCCACAAGTCTTAAAGTTGCCACGGTTAGACACCCCTGGTCTAAAGGTATAAGATACATTGGGATTTTCCAGCTTTTTCATTTTGTTCATACATATTATTAAACCATGTTTTTTTTTCCCTAATGTATGAACTCACTTATTAAGTTGGAACTAGATGAGAGCTTTTTCAAAAAATATATTGAAAACAATGGGATGTTTGTATTAGTGAAAGCCACTTTATTTTCATTATTACTTCCAACAAAAAGTACACATAGCATAATTTGAAGAAACATTTCATAAATTTTGCAAACAAAGCAGACCCAGTTTTTCCATCTTATTATACTATAGCTGCTTAGCTTTCTTTAAACATATTGTTGGTCTGCTGGGATTTTGCAAGCACTGCCTGAGAAGTTGAGATGAAGGCATTCCCAGGTAAACCAGCAACCCATTCATATTGAATGAATTAAGGAAATTAATATATCCTACTGGATAAAAAAAAACATTAGCAAGGATCATTTATAGGGCTTTGATATATCTATGATCAGTTCTTTTTTCCAAATTCAAAGATACGGTAGTATCTCCGGATTGTACCAACAAAAGAGTTCCAATGGCTCTTTCCTCCTATCCAATTATTAACGGAGCTTTTTTTTCTGTCTTTTCTAGTCCATTGAAAAAAATATGGGCATTTAGTTATTTGTCTGGCTAACATGTATGGACAAAGTCCCAGAATATCTTACAACCAGACAAATTTCAACTCAAGAAGTAAAACTCTATTAATAAGTCTAAATTCACAGAACAAGTTTTTGTGTGTACATGGTGTGCTACCTTTTTATTATTACTAAAAATAATTCAAGGTTGCTTTGATTCTTTATGAACAAATGTGCTGCTAAGGTAAATAGAGTGTGACTCATTGCCTTTAGCCCTCTGGAAGGTGGAAGATATTTCTACCCATGTGCAGAAGCATAAATATAAATAAGCCTATATATATATTCCAGAATCATCTGTGCACAGAATAATGATAAGGTAAGGAAAGTAACTTATTCTGTTTACTATACTAAGTGAAAGAAATCAATAATAAATCTCATGATGGTTTCTACTGTACAAAACAAAATTTGGTAATCAGAATAGTTACATTATTTTTAAAGAGAAGCTTTCATACAAAGGCATTTTACCTGAAGTTAATTAATTTAAATGTAAGGAAAAAATATAAGAGAAAAAAAAAAACTCTGTACCCTGCTACATGGTGCAATCCAGTATCCTGTGGCAAGAAATGGAAGGCCCAATGCAACCACCAGCACAACTAGACACTTGATAGCTATGGTCTGTTCCCTTAATCCTGAAAGGTTTTCATACCAGATGGTCAACAGCTGTTGCTGACAGTTAGGATGGGCTACAAACTATGGGAAAACAGAAGAAAAATCAAGTTACACAGAACTGTAATTAGTTTTTTGCATCATTGCAAATTTCTTTAAAATACAAGTAGTTCTTGACTTGTGATCACAGGTGAGCCCAAAATTTCTGTTACTAAGCAAGACAGTTGTGAATTTTGCCCATTGCCTTACCAGAAGGTCGCAAAAGGTGATCACATGACCCCAGGACACATCAAATCAATGGAAGCAGATTTTTAAACTTTCATATCTCATTTAAATCAGAAGCAACTTACATCTAATTTATGTCTCTGCTGAATGCTAGCTACATCTGGGGTACCATGTTTAATGATGCTAAAATATGTTTTGATTTATGAGAAACAACATAAAGCTGAGTAGAGGTTATTTCTCCTCTTGTGGATACTGTCACTGGGAGATAAATTTTAAAGCCTATTTCCAAGAACTGAGTTTTCAAACTTAGTTTGATGCAACAGAAGTACATGATGTCTATAAGAGTTAATTCACTTTGGAAAAGAAACAGATACCAGAATAAATTTTATTTATTCACTTTTTAAAGCTGCCCATCTCAGTCAATGACTCTGGGTGGCTCACAGTTAAAAAGAATCATTTTGGATCCAGTAGCAGTCATATATTATTATTCTTGTGGGGATTTTATTGCTTTTGTACTGCCAGCATTAAATGTCTTTTTGGCTTAGACATACATTAAGTCTCTAATACAACAGCTGGATGGAACAGGGGAAGATGTAGGGTGGCCTAGACACTTGATTAACACAAAAACAAAGGAACACGTTGTTGCTAAACAAGTAAAAGTATTTTTAAGTTCTATTTTCATAAATCAAAGCTGTAGTCTACTGCAAGGTATAAACTGTTTGTTGTACCAATGAAAGGGTTTGTTTCAAATTCTGTAGCTGGGTGAGAGAATACTTATTTTGAATGTAGAAAATCCTAGCACAGTGCCCACGGTATCTAGGCAGATTTCTGTGCTGGCTGGAGCATACAGTCTTAGTTCAGCAAAGATAGCGCTTACAGTGCAGCACAGAAACTATCTGGGTCTATTTAAATTAACAGTCTAAACCAGGGGTCTCCAACCTGGGCAACTTTAAGACTTGTGGACTTCAACTTCAATTCTGGGAGTTGAAGTTCACAAATCTTAAAGTTGCCAAGGTTGGAGACCCCGGGTCTAAAAGATACCTTGTTCTTGCTTTCAGAATACTATACAAGCTAAATGAGTCTGTTTTTAGCAAAAACAGCCAGAAAGAACAGGAGCATCCTAATGAGAAACCCATTGTCTATTACATAATCATAATCCAAGTTTGATTATAGATTGTTTATTAAAACAAAGTCCAGTAAATACAATACATTCCATCAAACCAATAATGAAATGGCTAACAAGGTTCAGGTATTATTTTTAAATTCCATCATAAATTACACTTATAACTCAGGGCATCTATAAAAATTATAAAGGTTTCAAGCCTTATGCTCTGCATATTAAGTAATGTTGGTATTGTTACTGGGAAAAATTGTGTCTTTTGATTATGTTGCCAGTACAAGTTGGTGGTTTTATAAGATTATCAGCATCTAAAACTATATATTAATAAATCTGCATGTTGCCACTTAAATCTAACACTGGTTTTTTGAGGGAAAATGCATTAAATTATAAGGTTCTCCAAATGGGATATTTGAAGCTATTAAAGACTTCCTACTGTATTAATTCTTATTGTTGTACAATTCTATCCTATTATTAGATATGTTTATTTAGCATGTTTCAAAGTTGCCAACATCACAGTAACACTTCAAAAAGCTCAAATGAGATTGGAGATAAAGCACTAAAATAAAAACAGTTGTTCTTTCTTTAGGTGCAAATGGATTTGTTATTTTGGTCATCAGTCACTATGTGATTTTTTTTCTCATATAAGGGGAAGTAATTGCCTATAAATATATTAATAAAATTGGTTCATGTGCAATTAGGGAGAGGGAGGGAGGGAAGGAGGGAGGGAGAGAGCACAAACAAAATGTTGCAATACAGAGTACATCTATTCAACATTCTAGACAGCTGTGCTCTATTCCTGGCTTCATCTCCTATCCATATTTCATTTTATGGCTATTCTGTAAGGAATCTTCTTACAGACAGGTAAGTATGTATGTGTGTATGAGAGAGAGAGGGAGGGAGGGAGAGAGAGAGAGTTTCTTTTTGCAAATGTTCAGTAGATGAGTTTCCCCAAAGTCAGAGAAGAAACATTGCTTATAAACATTGCTTATAGTCTGGTAATGAAACATCTGCAAGCAAGCAACCAAGCTTAGAGAGAACCAAGGACTCCACAGACAGATGTGTGTGTTTATGTAAATGGACATGATAGATAGATAGACAGACAGACAGACAGACAGACAGGTAGATAGATATAGACAGACAGACAGACAGTCCAAATTACAAAAAATCTCAGCTTTCCATTTAATTTAGCCAACTAAAGAGTTCAGTTTAATTATTACAACAACTTTGACTTACAGCAACATAATAATTATAATTCAAGACCTGATTTTATAATGAAGTCAGAGATCATATCATTCCTTTTCTCAGCCTAGTGTCTTCCAGTTGTTCCAGATTACAATCCCTGATCTCCACACCCAATTTACTCTACATCTACCTTTTTTAAAATGTTCAAGTAAGCAGTAAAACTCTTTGGGGAGGGCTACCCTTGTCAAGAACAGCACACACTAAAAGAAGAAAATTGAATCTGTTAATCTTCCACTCTCTTTCTATGGCAAAATCAATTCCATTTTACTTATATAGCAGTTTTAAAATAAAGATAAAATTCCTTTGGCATCAATTGATTTTTTTTTCTTCTTTTTAATCTCTCATACATCAGGGAGTCAACTTTTCTGAGCAGGTGGCATAAATAGGTTTTAGAGTTCCACTCACTTGTCCCAATCCCAATAATTAGGTTTAAACTAGCATAAACAAAAGAAAAAAACATCTCCCTCTCCATTAACATGCCATGTACTATAGGCTTCAGTAAAGGATATTAGCAGAAAAGACAGAAGGAAGAATCATCAATGGAATCAAACTGTCTTCTCAAAGCAATTCAAACTGAATCCAAAATAAATCAGAACACTTTCTCATTTCTGACAGTGGAACTTCCTTCCTTCCTCCCTCCTGAATACCTTAGTATTTTCAAGCCTCAATTATTATTGTTGTTTTTTTACCATCTACCACCTCATTAGGGTTTCTGCTGTGGGTCTTTTCACAAATATGCCTTTAGCTACTATAATTCAAAACTACTGTCACACATAGAAAGTTACAAGTACACACTTGTATTTCCTTCCAAAACCCCAGGGGAGAAAAGAAAAGGATGGGAGCTGGATGGCTATGAAGCAAGGGAAAGAGATAGGGTAACTAGACAGGAAAGGAAGGAAAACAGTGAAACCTGGTCCAGCTACAGGGAGTCTTTAACTTGAAACCACAATTGAGCCCAAAATTTCCATTGCTAAGCACAGAAATTTTTAACTGAGCTTTGCCCCATTTTACAATACTTTTTGCCACAATTGTTAAGCAAATCACTGCAGAATCATGAGGTTGTTATGTGATCTGGTTCCCCTCACTGACTTTGTTTGTTGGAAGCCAGCAGAGAAGGTTACAGATGGTGATCACATTACCCCAGTCAGTGCAACTGTCATAAATACATGCCAGTTGCCAAGTGCCCGGATTTTGATTACGTGACCATAGGGGCACCACAATGGTTGTAACTGTGGAAAACAGTCATAAAATATGAGGACCAAAAAAGGCCTTCTGCTAATCTGTGCCTGAAGAACATATATTCATTTTTTTTATGGGAAGACTATGCACATTTATGCTGTACTTTTCAAACTCATCCAGGAATGAGTATGTTATGGACCATGTCATACTATCTTACTGCTGCCTAAGCTCTTAATTTTACCCTATTTTGCTGAATGCAAATTATTAAGAAATGATCAGCATTTTTCCGGAGAATTCCACGCCAGCAAGAGAAAGTCATTAAGTATACCATTGAACTTGGCTTCCTATAGATCATTTGCATTCCACTAAACATACGAGCAGGAAAGAAAACAGTATAGGATGAGGTAAAAAAAATATGCTTAGTCAAAGAATCAGAGGTATTCCATTAGCACGCTTCCTCTCAAAATAGAAAGTCCTTGAACATGATTTTGATGTTTTGATGATTTTAAAATGCATCAAATGTTTTAACAATAGTTGGTTCTAAGGACTTTATCCACATTTAATCAGAGTTGGGCATCTTAGAAAGATCTCTTTAACAAGTGACTGGCTTAAACACATTAAGATTTATATCAGAAGCCATGAAAAAGCATGCAGTCTCTGAGAATATACTATAACGGTGAATGCAGACCCATTCAATTAAAAATAAATCTAGGTGTCATTGTAGTTCCACCCTGTAATCATCTGCCAGTAGAGTATCAGGAGTAATGACCCAAGGTAATCAATAATGTGATCCAGAAAGCATTGGCATTTAATTTTTTTTATACTTGTTCTTTTTTAAAAAATAGAAACCTATTCTTAGCAAGGATTTGTTTTTCAATTTTTGTCTAGAAATATTCCATACATCTCATCATAATAGATACAAATACAAGATGATCAACACCATCGTTTCAATCCTGAATTTTTTTCTGGAAGCAAACTGGAAATAATAAAGCTGCATTTTGGTATGGGCATGATTCAGCATTCCAATCTGAAAAAGTGGCACAATACTTGCTATAACAGTATTGGGCATTTTTCAAGACAAATACCATTTTGGATATAACAGTGTCATTATTATATGATATATAGTTAAATCTAAGCATAGTTTACACAGACAAAATGTCAGCTCAATATAAACAAATGCATGTATGTGCATATATGTATGGGTGCAGTGATGGGATTCAATTTTTTTTACTACCGGTTCTGTGGGCGTGGCTTGGTGGGCGTGGCAGGGGAAGGATACTGTAAAATCTCCAGTCAGAGGTTGTATTTGCTGGTTCACCAAACTACTCAAAATTTCTGCTACCGGTTCTCCAGAACTGGTCAGAACCTGCTGAGTACCACCTCTGCATGGGTATATTTGTATATTATTACTTGGGATTATATTTTTATCTATATTTTATTGTGTTTTTATTGATTGAGTATTGGTGATGAATGCTGCCCTGATCATTTGTCACTGTGTGATGAATAAAGTGGAGATACAGAAATGAAAAATAAATAAATAATGATGTAAGATTCTTGTAGTTTTATCAGTGAAAGGATTTTTTTAAAAGTTTCTCTGTTGCATTTGGCATTTGTATTACTCTGACATCTAAACCTTGTGCATTTAAATGGAATTGAACTTCTATTAATGCCACAATTAATAATCTGGAAAAGGAAGCAGGAGGAGAAAAAAAGAAGGGTGGTGAGGATAAAAAGTTGCAAGTTAGTCTTCTCCACTTTCAGTTTAAGGCAGCAAGAATATTCTAATCTGGAAATCCCAGAAAAACATTTGGAAAGCCAAAAATAAAGTAGAGAACCCAAAGACATATTATGCAAAGTGAACCAAAGTCAAAAACCAAACCTGGAAAAATATGGAGGTACATAGGGAAAATTTGAGGGTGAACAGCCATTTACCTGTCTTATCTGTTGCATTTGGCATTTGTATTACTCTGACATCTAAGCCTTGTGCATTTAACTAGAGTTGAAATACACAGTACATAGAAATCATTGTACAAATCATTCCCTGTATCACATCCAAATATTTACATCTGAATAAAATGGCAATGGAATTAAAATCAAAATAAGAATACAACATCCTCTTATTTATAAAAAAAAAATACAAATCCTGTTATTGATGCTGAAAATAGAAGCACAACATGGTTGTTTCTTAACCTTAAAGGTTTTAATAGCCAAAACCAAACATACATAGAGCAGTATTAATTGGATTGTATATGACAGTGCTGTCATCTTTTAAAAGGCCAATTTCATTCCTATCTTTGACATCAGTTTAGCAGCATATTTTTCCAACAGAGGACAAAGATAAAATTGACACTAAAATGTTTAAGATTATTAATGCATGCAGGTTTATGACAGAGTCCACTAGATACATTGTTTGAAAGATAATTCTTTACCTTTTTGACTTCGTATTTAATAGCCAGTTTGACACGACTCAGTGAAGCCCTGTGCCTCTGAATTTCAACTGGCTCTGCTTCCAAATCTCCATTTAGAATGGCTTCCACCTCTTCAGAATCCCGACAGAGATCAAGGACACCAACAACAAAGTCCTTGCATTGCATAGACAACTTACGGTAATCATTCTAGAAGACAGAAATAAAACAGCTTCTGAGCCTTTAAGTCACACACAAGCATTGCCCTAAATAATTTAATGGTTATCTATCTTCCTAACTTGGACATATTTTCATAAGAGTTAGATTACATGTTTATAAATGATACCTTGCCTGCCTTTTTCATGTTATTTAAATGATATTTTACAGTGCACAGAAATGCATACACATATGAGAGATAAGTAAGAAAGACATCTACGTGTAAAATAAATTATTTGTTAGTGGAAAAACTTCAATAATTGCAAAAGAATGATATTTCGGTAGATGTGAGAGATTATGGCACATACAGTGATGGAAGATTTTTTGGAAAAATAAACATGGCTTCAGCCCTGTAAGGATTTTTAGCTTAAAAGTTTATATTGTAAATCAAATATTAAGGAAAGCAAGACAGGCATGACAGGTTCAAAATGTCCATTGTAAAGCCTGTACATTCAATGATGAATCACTATAACCAGGTGAAGATTCTTAATAGCAGCTTTCAGCGTACTGCATACTGCAGAAATACACTTTAATAAATCCAACTATAACACAGTCATGTATTAAAAGATGTGTTAAAGATGATTAGGGGACTTGAGGATAAAACATATGAAGAACAGTCACAGGAATTGGATATGCCCAGTTTAATGAAAAGAAGAATTAGGGCTATATGGTAGCAGTTTTCCAATACCTAAGAGACTGCCACAAAGAAGAGGGGATCAACCTGTTCCCCAAAGGCCTAGATGGCAGGACAAGAAGCAATGAATGGAAACTATCAAGGAGAGAACCAACCTAGAACTAAGGGAAAATGTCCTCACAGTTAAAACAATCAGTGGCACAGTTTGCCTCCAGAAGTTCTGGGTGTTCCAATAATGGAGGTTTTTAAGAAGAAATTGGACAACCATTTGTCTGAAATGGTACAGGGCCTCCTGTTTGAGCAGGGAATTGGACTAGAAGACCTCCAAGGTCCCTTCCAACTGTGTTATTCTGTTAAATGGGGAAACCATGACTTTGACAATGTACTGTATATCTTCGTGTAGTGTTTCTTCACTTTAAAACTTTAAGATGGTTAAAAGTAAAGGTAAATGTTTCCCTTTCCAGTCATGCCCGACTCTAGGAAATAGTGCTCATCTCCATTCCTTAACAGAGAGAGCCAGTATCATGGAAAGACATTTCCGTGGCAATGTGGCCAGCATGACTATAAGCTGAGGAACATGAAATGCTGTTACCTTCCCACCAAAGTGGTATCTATTTATTTACTGATATTTGCATGCTTTCAAACTGCTAGGTGGGCAGGAGCTGGGGGCAAGTAACAGGAGCTCATCCCATCAGGCAGCACTCAGGTCTGGAACCCAGGCTGTTAGCTTTCCAGCTGATAAGCTCGGTGTGTTTAGCTGCTGAGGCATCGCACCACTGTAAGTTTGGTTACAGAAGACCAAGTATTATCTCTACAGAAGGTTGAAGATTAAATTAAGACATTAATACCACCCCCTCCTCCAAAAGGATTAAAATAACCAGATCAGTTCAAAATGTCCAGTACAACTTTGTGTTCAACAATTGTTTCACTTTATGCACTCTTAACTGCTTTAGTTATATTCCCCAATATTAGCTCATACACTTGGCAAGAGGAGAAACCTGGCAATGAATCAGCTTGCAAACTCATCTCAGGCTAAAGTGCTGTGGTCAGCTCTACATAGCCTTATTTGTCATAAGTTATAAAGCTCTAAGTGATCGATTGCAGGAACTGAGTCTTTAAGGAAAACTCATGGCTGTCAGGTCTGGTTTAATTTTTGGATTCCCCCCCCCCCTCCCATTTGTTCCGTATTTGCAGCATTCTATAATATCTTACTAGATAAAGGGTTTGATAAAACTCAACAGTTTACACTTCTGTTTCATTTTGGATGAGGTTAAATATATTGCCCAACTGTAAATTTTAGATGTTTGTATAATTTACAGTCACTCTGGCTTATTATGAGAAGTTAAGGCTAGAGGAGAAACCATTTTCACAAGTGTTGCATGAAGTTACAGAAATAAAATGGATAAATAGCAATAGCACTTAGAATTATATACTGCTTCACAGTGATTTACAACCCTCTTTAAGCATATTGCCTGACTCAGGCAACAATCTGGGTCCTCATTTTACGGAGCTTGGAAGGATGGAAAACTGAGTCAACCTTGAGCTGGTCAGGATCAAAGGAAATAAACTCCTGACAATGTGAGCAAAGTTAGCCTGCAACACTGCATTTTAACCACTGCGCCACCACGAGTTTTCATTCTATAAATGAGGTAAAGAAAGCCAAAGCAGTGTTGGATAGAGAGAACACCCACTTGATAGCTACTTGGAAAACACAGCTGATTCAGAATGCAGTAAGGCAAGTACTTGTAGCCATGCCTCAGTATGCCAATGGGACACCTTTACTTTGCTGGTTGCACTGGTTACCAACTGTCTACCAGGTGTGATTCAAGGTGCTGATTCTCCGTTATAAAGCCTTTCATTGATTACAACAATAGATATTCATAGGACCATTTTTCTCCAATCATTTCTTCCCGTTATGTAAGATAGGTTGACATGATTCAGTCCCATCAATAAAAATCTTATGGGACCCCAAAGGCATGTCTTCTCTGTTGTCATTCCTGCACTCTGGATAGCATTCTTGGAAATCCCTATAATTCCAGCCATGTTCTTTATGATAGGTTTAAAAACCTGGCTTTTCTAGCAGGTCTAGCTCAGGTCAATTATAAATTTTAATTTTTAAAAAATGTGTCTGATATGATTATGATTTTATGCTTAGGGTCTCCTTGAATTACTAGCTATCAGGCAGACTAATAAAATGGAAAAATAATGAATGATTATGTGCTAGGCTTAGTAACAGCAGCATATTTTATTTCTAACAAAACAAATGATTTTCTTAACATTGCTCCTTAATATTCCTTAATTCTTTAAAAGTATTTAAAGAACAAAGGCCTGTTCTCTGTTCTTATATTATTTAACTGAGTATAGCCTGCAGCTTTCCTTTTAATGTATAATCATGAAATTACCTATAGCTTTTTTAGATTAAAGAATTTTATTCTAGATCTGTTTTCAAATGAGTTTTAATCTTTTAAAAATATTTTAATCTTAGTAACTTAAGGTGCTGTATTAAATCTTGCATTTCTTAATATTTTTCACTTCTTGCTCTGAATCTAAGCTTTTAAATGGCAGAAAAATACATGCATTGCTTCTAAAGAGTTAATAGCACCAAAATAATTTGGACTTATTTCCAAGAAAGTAGAATTTGAAAAAATAAAATAAAACAAAGTCGCAAATATTAGTTCATTCATTTTATTACAATCACATCCAGAATCTTTTTGACATCTCTGAATCCTGCAGCATTTCATTCTGAACATGCCCTAAACACTGTTTAAATTATGTTTAAATATATCTGAAAAAGCCAGATCCCACTGAAATCAGGAGTGAATCTCATTATAGTTGCTACCTGGACAGTAATCCCCCTACATATTACTGTGATTGATAGGGAGAGAGAAACAGAACAATACAGCAGTCACCTTTGTGCTTAATGTTTAATGATGCTTTTTATTGAAATTTCAACTAATCTTAGAATTTTAATGCTATATTGCCATTCATGTCTTAATTGTGATTTATCTGTACATTGCAATGGGCACTTGCAAGCTATAACTTAGTTAGAGGTATATAAGACACTATGGTTGGGTTTATATATTGCATTGAGACATACAATAAATGTAATTGCTTTCTTTTCATATAGGATGCTGTCTAAGCCTACCCACTGAACGAGGAAAACATTTTCACAGTGTTGAAACAAAAAGGAGTTTCCACCATAGCGGATGTATTCCACCACTATGAGGATGTATCTTTCAGTGCAGCCCACAAATGAATGCCAAACAGATTGAGATAATAAAAAGACATGGAAAAGGAATGGTGTTCTTGTACATACTGAAAAGCTGAGCTGAACCTGGCTCTCCAATATATATGAGAAAGTTCTAATAATAACCACAGCAGTAAACAAGAATGTAGGAGATCTGAAGCTGTTGAAATGACAATTAAGTATGATCTTACAGTTCCGCCTACTTACATATATGTCATTATATCTAAAGTAGTACAAAGGTTTCTTTGCACCATAGCTGCTAAATCAAAGCCACATGATTTAAACTGCCCAGAAATTACTATGCCAAAATAAAGATGCCAGAATATGTAACATGTATTACCATAGATTCTATACATACCTTGCTAAGTTCCACAATAGGAGCCTAGTATCAACTCTCAATTGAGCAATTACATAAAGCAAGGATCTTTGTAAAATGGCTAATACATTTTCAAATTACTTTGCAAATAATATACTAAGAAGGCTCACCTACAAGGCCTATAGAAATTTAGAGTCGATTGGTTAAATTGCTATCAACAGTGACAATTTATTTCTAACTGTTACGTTGTTATCATGTTCCTATAGCAATGGATCTAGAAACTGAGACCAACCACTTCTCCTTCACTTAGAAAATGGTTTGAAAGCTGCTTCAAAGGGCTTGCCACTGAGTTGGATCTGTTTTAACTAAAATATATAACAGGTCAACAAAAAGCCATTGCATTAGATTTAGGCATTTCATAGCACACAGGAAAGCTGTATTCACCCTAGCAAGAGAAAGAGAACACAGGAAGAAAATGTAATGCTCTACCACTGACATGCTTGGTTTTTTTTCCAGCAAAAGACTCAGCCAAGAGCCTTGTTTTATTTATTTAGTTTGTATCATTTATACCAGGGGTCCCCAACCACCGGGCCCCGGACCGGTACCGGTCCGTGGATCATTTTGTACCGGGCCGCAAAGAATGAAAGTAGGGCCTACTTTGCTTGGGCGCCGCCATCTTGTTTCGATGGCGCTTGAGAAAGTGCTTCCGGGTGAGCTTGTCGGTCGTCGGTTGGAAAGCGGCGTTTGGGTGCTGAAGGAATCCTCGTGCCTTAATTTCGTCGAAGGGGGGAGGCGGTTTCGAACGAAGAGCCGTCCCGATGGCAGTGGAGTCTCGCGTTACTCAGGAGGCGATTAAGAAAGAGCCCAAAAAGCCCGTCGACCGCGAGAAGGTACAAAGGAGGAGTTGAAGGTGGCGGGGAGAAGCGGGGGACGGCTGACTGGCCGGTCGCTCGGCTCACCTTGCCTTGGTCGTGCGTGCTGATGCCGGTACCGGTCCGTGGATCATTTTGTACCGGGCCGCAAAGAATGAATAATCGTGAAACTGGTCCCTGGTACAAAAAAGGTTGGGGACCACTGATTTATACAGCCATCTCCCACAGCTTACTTGGGCTCTGGGCAGCTTACAAGATTGAAAACAAACTTTCTATGTCAGTTAGCATCTGCAGTATATGAAACTGCTGTTGCTTTATAGTCATTATAGTTTTAAAAATTAGCCTTGCTAAGCACAATATAGGGTGAGAAAGGAATGATAAAAGCCAATTAAAATGTACAGTTAATTAGTACAAGAGTATGAAGCAAATTAAATTCTCCCTATCCCTAATTGATTCTGCTTCTTGATTAGAGCTCTCTCAGTAATTGCTCTTTTCCATAGCTCTCGTAAATTTAAGATCTAATAATCACAAGAAATACCCTAATGGATAGTTACCGCTATGCTTCATTTTTGTACAGTAGGAACAACTTGCAGGTTACTACATCAACAAAAGATCAAAACTTCCGAAGGCTTTGTAAATATAATTAGCTTGCACTTGACTGAACTGGATTCAAAATATGACATTTCTATGTCACAGTCAGTCGGCAAATAATTACTGCATTCATATAGCAGTCTAAGCATTACTTTAAACTATGGATTGTTCATTCAGCTAAAATAATTGGATTCACTATCCATTCATGTCAAACCAGAATGGCCAGGTTCACATATTACAAACAAACCTTGTTTGAACCCATTTTTTAAAATTTTCTTCCCATATGAGATGACAAATAGCATATTTCTTCTAAAAAATTGTTTTGTTCAATTTCATTTAATAAATTATCCATTTTTATTTCTTCAACTGAAGAAATAAAGAAAAGAAGAAAACCTGCTTTATTTGAATCGCAGTAACAGAACATGGGTTTGTCAAAAACAGATCATGCCAAACAAATCTTATCTCATTTTTTGACAAAATTAATAGACCAGCTAAATGCTGTGGACATACCGGTAATATACTTGTATTTGAATAAGGCATTTGACAAAGTAAACCACTACCTATTTCTAGATAAGTTAGAAAAATGTGGGATATGCCGCATCACCACCAGCTGGATTTGTAACTGGCTGATAAATCACATTCAACATGTAACCCCTAATGGAGCTACATCTACATGGAGGGAAGTGTGCAATGGGTTACCTCAAGATTCTGTCTTAGGACCAGTACTCTTCAACATCTTCATAAATGAATTAGAAGAGGGAATAGAGGGAAACTCACCAAATTTGCAGACAACACCAAGCTGGCAGGAATAGTCAACACCTCAGAGGCAGAAGTGGTATTCAGCAGGTTCTGACCATTTCTGGAGAACCGGTAGCAGAAATTTTGAGTAGTTTGGAGAATTGGCAAATACCTCAATGACTAGAGATTTTACAGTATCCTTCTCCTGCCACACCTACCAAGCCACATCCACAGAACTGGTAGTAAAAAAACTTTGAATCCCACTACTGCTCAGAAGATAGGCTCAAGATCCAGAAGGATCTCAACAGAGTTGAACATTGGGCCAAACAAAATGAAATGCAATGCTGAGGAAAATAAGATATTATACTGAGGCAAGAAAAACCAAACACACAACTATAGAATAGGTGGCTTTTTTGGTGGCTGCAGCACACTGCTGACTCAGTAGCAGTAACTGCAAGAGGGATCTAGGAGTGCTACTGGACAACCACTTAAATATAAGCCAGCAGTGTGCTACACCCGCCAAAACAACCCAATTAATACAGGGATATAATCAAGATCACACAAAGTGTTAGTACCACTTCATAATGCCTTGGCAAGACCACACTTGGAATACTACGTCCAGTTATGGTCGCCACAATATAAAAAAAGATGTTGAGACTCTAGAAAGAGTGCAGAAAAGAACACTAAAGGTATTAGGGGATTGGAAGCTGAAACATATGAAGAATGGTTGCAGGAATTAGGTATGTGTAGTCTAATGAAAAGAAGGTCTAGAGGTGACATGATAGCAGTGTTCCAATATTTGAGGGATGCCATAAAGAAGAGGGGGTCAACATATTTTTCCGACGACCCTGAAGGCAGCAATAGATGGGAAATCAAGGAAAGAAGAAACCTAGAAGTAAGAAATTTCCTGACAGTGAGAATAATTAACTAGTGGAATGGTTTGCCTCCAGAAATTGTGGCTGTTCCATCACTGGAGGTTTTTAAGGAGAGATTGGATAGTAATTTGTCTGAAATGGTATAGGGTCTCCTGCTTGAAGAGGGGGTTGGACTAGAAAACCTCCAAGTTCCCTTCCAACTCTGTTATTCTGTGAAGAACTTAATCTCAGAAAACTTTGTTTTAAATGTCACTATCACTGAGACAATCACTGCCAGGAGAAATATCTGCAGGGGTGTCAAAAAAAGTCAACATGGTTCATGGTTCATTCAATCATAGCTATGTCTCTTTTTCACATGCAGCACAATGAACATTCAAAAGAGCAAGGCCTCTCTGTCTTTGAGTCTTTGACTCCCTTTCTCACTAGGATTGAGGTTTTCAGGTTTTTAGTACTTCCTTCCAAAACTAGTTTTGTCATTCTAAGTATTGTCAGATAGTTAGAGGCTGGCAACAGTATCTAGACACATAAATTATCTAACAGAAAAGGCAGTTCCAAATCACATACAATAATGGATCACCTTAGCACAATAAAAAAAAACCTGCAAAGCTGTTATAAATTGACAACACTTCACTTGCCATATCGCAGAAAGGCCATCCATATATGCCTATTGTTCTATGTGGTTATATTTAAATCATATACAAAATTTTAAAATGAAATGATTAAACATCAAACTATTTAATCTGAATATAACAGCAGTCATACAAAACATCAGATCTGCAAATCGGTCAAGTTTTAATTTCACAGCAGTTGCCCCACATAATAAATATCTTTGAAACTAAACTGAACTGCCTAATATGGCTGGACTCTGATTTATTCATTTCTGTGTTTTAAGGCAGTCCAATAAACATATGCAATGAACACCAATTTTTGCTCCTGCATCATCCCACAAATACATACTCGTACACAAGTCAACGTGTATTTTCTTCACAGCTCTCTAGGCTTGGAACAGTTTCACACATTAATGAGTCTTCTGCCTTCTCATAATAATTTAAGGGAACGTTAATTTAAAAAGTGTAATTAACAGTGACCCTGAAAAACCCCAATGAAATGTTTGTTACCGTTGGAAGGATGTGTCATTTGTATAAACTAATTTTGTTCCCAATCTGTCTTTCCTGACCCATTTTTTTTTGTTTTTCAGTAAATGAAGATTTTCAGGGGGTAGAATTCTTATTTTATATATTAGTAGATATGGAATCTGAACAAATCCTTACAAAAAAGGAGCCAAATAAATAATGAAGGAAAACAAATCCAGAAAAATAATATAACCAGCATTTTGTGATATTAAAATATATAAACATGGGGGGGGAAATGAAAAGTAGAACAATTATAAATTTTAAACAAATTTTAATAGAATCATGAAACTGTAATATATTTCTATTATCCCAGCGACCATAATATTATTTAGATGGGAAAATGATAAAGGCATTCAGAATTCTTATAATATAAACTATAATGATCAAAACATTAAGGTTTGAATGGGCATAAGAAAACTCATTTATTTGCATACTAGAGCTCAACACAATTGACAAAGCATTTCCTCTTATTTCCCTTACAACAGGAGTGCCAAACTCAAGTCGTCATGACATTGTCACATGACGTATCATGACTTTTCCCCCCCTTCGCTAAACCTGGAGTGGGCATGGCCAGCGCTTGATGCATCAGCTTGCAGGCCATGAGTTTGACACCCCTGCCTTACAACAACCACTTTGCAATGTAGATTGGGCTGCACTAAAGTCACCCAGGGGCTTTTATGTTTATGGGTGGATTTGAACCTGGGACTCTTAGGTACCCAAGTCCAACACTTCACTTTAGGTCATTTAGGACCTAAATTTTTGATTTTGATTTTCAGAGAGCTCATTTTTCATTATTTTATTTTGTGCCAACCAAGCTAAGCACCATGTTTTCATTTCAAGAAAAGCTATTTTTCAAAGGAACCTTACATCATAATAGCAACACAAGTAGGATTAGATAAGACTTGAGTCTTGGGTGTTTGGCAACTTCCAGTATCTGTACTCTTCTTCACTTTACTTTAAAAAAAACCTGCAACTAGCATGCTAAAAAGCAAAACACCAAACTCATCTATCCAGGTTAAAAACAATGCTTCTTCTCCTGCACATACATCAAGGGCATTCTAAGAACATTAGAATGTTTGGGGGCTTCAGTCCATTGTTTGATTTAGAAACCTCACCACTTACCATGAGAAAAAAGAATTCTGGTGCAAGCACCCTAGAGTAGAATTTAACAATCAGTAGGAAGCAGCCATACCAGCTTAAAATTTGGTAAATTGGGAGCTGTTTGATTCAGAAAGCCCAGCATAGCTCTCATTTTATACAAGGTTCTCAAATTCATTGGCTCATAGAGAGCAAGGGCCTTCAGATAAAGTACAGAAAAATAATGTAAAGTCAGAATAGTGTAAATCCAAAAAGAGAGAAAGGATGAAAAGAGACTTACCTTGAATTCTTTTTCAATATTAGCCAGTTTGGCAAGCTCATTGCTAAGTTCTAGAGCAGTGAGGACTGGATCTTCACTAGACAAGGACAGATAGGCTGGACTGGCCAATCCTTTGTATGCATTTATTCTTGATCTAGAATGACTAAAAGAATCTATCTTCTGTTTCTCAGTGCAATCATTGCACTTACAGAAATAATCATGGGGCCTCTCTATCCTTGCCCCTTTCATTAGCAGCATGTGTACCACCTCATACTTCTGACAATGAGCAGCTAAAATGATGGGTGTGATGTCTGGGGAGAAGCGGGTGCCATCTTCATCATAGGAATAAAAGTCATCATCTTGGAGTTCCTGCTCACAGGGGCTCAGAGTCAGCCGCTTACTAGCTGCAAACCCAGGATGATTCAAGATTGCTTCCACAATCCGGATATATCCTTTGCTGATTGCAAGTAACAAAGCATCTCCAATTCGTGCCAGATTCTCCTTCTTTAACAAAAGTTCTGTCACTTCAAGGTGTTCATTTCCTACAGCAAGCTGCAAGGCATTTTGGCCCATATAGTCAACGCAATTCACATTTAATGTTTTTGACTCTTCCAACATTTTGCGCACCACAGGAATGTTCCCATATTCTGCAGCATCCAGAAAACGTTCTTCTTCAGCTGTGAGGCTTGTGCCCCTGTCATTAAACATAAAAGCTGGACCTCTAATGGCTTGCCGTCTTCCCTTTTCTCTCATCATAGTCATTTGTCTCAAAGAAGGGCTTCCATCAATGAACCTACTGACCAAAAACAGTCGTTATGGAAATTTTTCATGGCAGCATCTTTACAGAATCTAAACCAGCTTCCCAAAATCAGCTCCTTTACCCAATTATCTACTGTTCACACTTTATTTTGACAGTTGGTCACCTCTAAATAATATTTCATTGCAGTGGTAATTACTTTAAGATCCTGCATAAATAAAAGATCTACCAGAAATAATTGTCCAAAAGATCTATTCAGATAGACAAAAATATTCACATGTAGGATGTTCTTAAATGTAATTATACATATCACTCTCTCCCATTAGTATATTATATTTTCTCAAACAAGATTAAGTTAGATATTTTAGGAAATCGGTGGTATTATATCCACTATGGTGGTCATAATTAGTTTATTTGTCAGAAATAACACAGTTTCATAATTCTGTCAATTAGTTTTAACATTTCTATTCTGTAGTATTTTTATCTGTGTTTATATTTGTGCTTTGTAACATACTACTGTGTATTAGTTGCATAAAATGTTGGTTAGTGACAGAATTACAGTTTGAATTTTTTTTTTTTACCAAATGATGTATCATTGTTACTTGACTCCAAATACAAAATATTTAAGACACAAATATTAATGAAATCTGAAGCTTTTCTTTTAGGTATTATGGACAAACCAATCAAAAAACAGTTTGGGACACTATTGATGACTGCTGCAAGGATTGTATATGCTAAACATTGGAGGGGAGGGATATTGACTGTTGAAGAGTGGATTTTAAAATTGTCTAAATTAGCAGAGATGGCAAAACTAACTGCTTTGATTAGAGACAACAGATTAGGCAGCTTTATAACAAACTGGAAGCCGTTTGTGGATTTGCTACATGCTAAAAATACAATGTCAGATGGTGAAGAGAGGAATAGAAGATTAGTGTAATATTTGGGATAACTTATTGACTGTTGTTTTTTTCTTTTACATATATATTGTGATTAGATGTTGTGTCAATTTGATTATTAGGCAGATTTCCACATCTGGGATATTTGTATATTTAATATAGAATTTTGCTAAAGATAGATGGGAAAGTTTATAACTATTTGTAGACCTGTTACATAAGGGGAGAAAAACATATCAGATTTTTAAATTTTATTTTTCAGCAACCAGACAGGGTAACTTTCTAACTGAATATTTTTAAAGAGACTAAAAAATTGAATCTACGGTGCTATTTATAGCATTTCTCTCCTTTTGAAGTGAAAACATGAAAATACAATTCTCAAACTGTCATACATCACCAAACAAAACTAACATATTACAAAACAGGACATCCAATTTTCATTCTGCTACAATCAAAAGATTCTTAACAGTATATAAGACATAACATCCTGGAGATTGAGAATTTCCCTGAGGATGGACTCCAGGATGAATCCAAAAGCTTGGAATTACAAATCTCTGATCCTGGTGACTCAGATTGGATTTTACAGTATATAAGATACTTAGAGGACCCATGGCAAATAACATTTAAATTGTCTAGGTTAAAATAAATAATAAGAACAAAGAACATATTTACACATTAAATTCCAATCAGTCATAAAATGGCTTCCTTTTAATTCAGTGGAGGAAATCCAGCTTCTCTCTCTTCCAGAAGGTCAGGAAAGTTCCACCTCATGGAGTAAGATGATACACAGCAGAGGATGACTGCCTAGCCTTAGTCCTTGTCACATCACAGAAGTGATAGCCCACCAGCATTTTACATACATAAAAACTTAAAATATTTTGCGATGGACAGAATGTTTTACAGTAAAAGTATTTTCATTTACCCCAGTTTAAAATCATCACAAAGGGCATAAAAAGATGTAATAGCACTCAAGCTGCTTCAAGTATGAAAAAGTTTTTCATCAGAGGAAAATCTTTAATTTGCTCTCTGACAGATAATACTGTATGATGCTTGCTGCCTGAGTAGTAAATCTGTTAGGTATTCCTTCTGTTCTCATGGATTATTTTATTATTATTACTATTATTACTATTATTATTATTCAGACTCAATTCTAAACTGACCAAAGCCTTCCTTTTAATGACTTCCAGTAGAAAGAGACTCACATTTAAATTACATATGTATAACCTTTACTGAAAGTTTAATAAAATTAACTTATGGAAACAGGAACTGTAACTTTGTTGGAAATAAATGGCAATTATCCAGCATCATTACTTTTTTATGATGGTATGAAATTTTATGCATCAAGCCAGGAGCACTTCCACTTTGTAGTCATGTATCTTTCTGCATGGTTCCTTAACTAAGCATTACTGCACATCAAAGGTGGAAAACATCTTCCGCCTTGGGAAACCTTGAAAATACGAACAGTCTATGGCAAAGACTAGAAAGGGCTGTAATTTTAGTCCCCTCTGAGGTAATGATTCTGCTTGATTTTTCATCTATTCTGACACATTGTGGTGTATTCACCCACATTTACTTTCTTGAAAACTGACAAAAATTTCTAATTTGGCAATTTGCCACTACGTTTTGGCAGCATAATATCCAAGTAATTTGGGGCCAAAAAAATCAAAGAAAGAACTACAGCAGCCATGTACAGACTCTGGGCTGCTTATTTCAGATGCATGTTTTTTTATATGCCCTCAAGTTTATTTCACTGCTTCCTTCATTCTAACTATGTTGGCTGTCTAAAGAAATGTACTTTTTAAAAATTAAGTAATATGATTGTAATATTTTACTTTGGATAAAGGAACCACACACACAAATCTAACTTAACTTGCAAAATTACATAGCATAAAAGTATTGTACTTGCAAATATTTACATATATGGACTTTTTTAAAAAAAATACATTAGTATTTGAAATGATAAATATATAAACTCTGTTCTGTTTTAAAGATTAACCAATACAAATTTATTACTCTACCATGACTGCAATTCTGAAACCATTTCTTACTTATAAATACCTGCCAAACATATTTAATAGCACAATAATGCTACATTAATTAAATTGCTCTCAATTGTTGTAATTAAAACATTTAAGCAGGTTGGTGCAACTTGACGTCCTCCAGATATGTTGGATACCATGAGGAATTATTGATTCTACTGACAGCATATTGAAATCCCACATTTCTTGTGGGTACTGAACTAGGAAATATCTTCAACCGCCCTTTTAAAAATCCACTTTGAAATAATGATCTTATCTTATTGAGTATAACTGTGAGATATTACTCTTAAATTAAATTAAATAACCCTTAACTGACAATAAAACTAAATCATTATATATAATTTGCCTCTGACTACCCATCACAAATAAAGAAAGGCTTGAGAAAACTATTGTCCTCAAGTCTTCTTGTAGTTCGGTATGGGGCATGATGTTGGATGAAACAGCTTTTAATATGTGTCAGGTTTATTCCTTTTTTGTCATTATACCAACTATCACATCCAATAAAGGTGTATCAGTTCTCCATCTGGATTCCTTCTCAAAGAAAACCTGATAATTTTCGATAAAAGCAAATGCTAAAAAGTGCAGCAAATCCTGCAAAGGCATTTAAATACATGGTTTGATAGTAAAGAAATGTAATTCTGAAAATGAGTTAAAGGTCTCATCATTTTAGGGTGATTAATTGTTTATGAGAAACCTTCAACTTTGAGTTTAGTTTAGCTAAAAAATAGACTAGGAACTTTTAAATATATTAGCAATATTAGTCTAATGCTGGCAATGGAAATATTTTTGGGGATTTGAGCCAGCTTTAGGATATCCTACAGCAGAAAGGATACAAGATGGTTTGTAGAATTCTTTTTACCGGAACGTTCTATGAAATACCAAATCATTAGAACCCAACATTGCTATGATTGCTCTTTTATATTTGGATGAGTATCACCATAAACACAATCACCCGGAATTTAATCACCACTTAATTGGTACTGCTTTTAGTATTATGCTTTGCCATACCAGCTTCATTACCAAGTAGTACATGCTTCTAAGCACATGAACTTCAATCTAAGAAGCTTCCAAACTCCAGCCATCAATTTCTCAAGACTTTAGAATACAAGACTAAATTAATTTGAAATAGTTCCAAGTTCTTGTTATGTTAGGTTTTTAAATTCAGAGCTTCATAATTATGGGCATTTTTATATGTTTGAAAATCTAAAATTGTCAGAAAAAGCCCCTCAATTTACCAACAACTCCAATTACTGAGCTCGCCTGTGGAACTATTGCACTATCAATTAACATAGATAGAAAAAAGAAATCAAAGAAACTTGCCACTGTCACCTGTCTTCTCCAACCCTTGATTGTTGTTTCTGTACATTTGCCTGATAAACCATCAAACAAAAATCCCTCTAAGAGAACAAGAGGAGATGTTGAGAGAAAATGAATGGTAAAAAATTCAAATGAAAAACCCTGGATAATGGAGCAGCAAATACACATTCAAAGGCCTTTTACAGCTGAGGTAGGAAGAGAGAAAGAGAAGAATGAAAAAAAAAATAGCAGTTATAAACAACTCATGGCAAACAGCAAGATAGAGGAATTTCCATGAACAAATCTAAATTTTTAAAAGGGAATGAACCTTTATTGTAAATGCTGTTTAATTCAAAGATAAAAATTTAAAGCTATGTACAGGTACAGAGAGGCGGGAGATAAAGCGAGAATGCTGCCCAGAGTCATGCTTTTGGAGGGGAGGGAAGGGGCATACAAATATGATAGATAAATAAAAGAAAAAGAAATATTTTCCAAGAAAAGCCTATTATCCGATGGGCTGCAAAAATGTAGCAGAGTTTTCTGATGTAATAATAATTCCAAAAATAAGGACATCTCAAATGAAAAACTTTTCATCATTTGGGAATATGCTGATGAGGAAGAATGCAATGATCATGCAAAGGTTTTAAGTTGTGCAAATTGCCGGTAGGGAGGGGCATGTTGCTTTGTATGGAAAGAGATGAATAGAATGCCTCCAAAATGCAGTTCTGGAAGAAAACATTTGTAAGAAAGAGAGCTCCTGATTCTTTAAGGGACCATTCATACGGTAATGCAAAACAG